TTTGTATACGGGGTAAAAGCGGGAGTTCATAATCCACTTGAATCAAACCGTGTAATATGATGTATTAAGAACTATGTAATGTTATGAACGACCAATAAAAAAATAAATAAATAAATAAATAAAGAACATAAAGAAGAAAAAAAAAAAAAAAGAATGTACTATGGATAACTTAGTTACTGCTTTGGTTGCTAAACTCCCACAAAACTCTGTTAATGCTTTGGTCTTAATAACAATGTTGCTCTGTTTTTGTACACCACTTGTGGGAAATTCAGTACTCTCAGATCCTGGAATTCTACAACCCATTACAATATCTTGACTCACTTGGATGAAATTGTTATATACCTGAAAAAATGTCTCATGATATTCATTGTTGGGTTAGCAGAATAATTGTGTCCTTACCATCCACATTATATTTAATAGGTCACAATCATGCACAATTTATTCATAAAAGGTCTATTCCTCTTGATAAAAACTGTGATAATTCAGTGAACCTTCTCTCTAAGGCAGAATTTGATACTTTGACATTCTCCTTAAAGGGTTTCCCTGGACTAGATTTATGGGCTTACAAAACTACTATGAAACTCACCTATGCTATCATAAAAAGTATTAGTCAAGCCTCCATGGCTGTTAATATGCTTAATGAAGAACAAAAACAACATTGTCAAGCCATACTTAAAATTCATGATTGCAATTGATTGTCTGGTATTGTTATATCATAATRGACATCAGAAGTTTAATAACACGTGTTCCTTCAATTTATGTGATAATAGTAATTTTTTTTCAAAAGAGTTAGATTACCTTAAAGATATCATTAATAAGGTACAACAAGATGATTGATGATTGACTTGTTGGATTGGCTAACTTCATGTTTACTCAATTTCATCTGCGTCAAAAAATATACATAGGTGGATGTTTACTGATGTTGGCACTTGCTGTTGTCTATGGCTGCCCTATTTTTTGCCCCCAGCAGCATTAAGGAGATAAGTAATATTATTTATTCAAAAGGCCTTAAAGAAAGCAAGGGGCTTCAGGTATTCTGACATTGGAAATAGAAAGTGTGGGGGTGATGGAAACTGGCACCCTGAGTCCCACAATTGTAATTCCCAGCAGTTTCTCCCTGAAGCTATTAAGACAACTHTACAGGTGCACTATCTAGTTTCTGTGGTAATGTCCTTTGGGAGAAGAGACTCTATGTTTTTATTAACTGTACCTTATCTTGGTTAGCTAGCACTTGGGGTTAAAATAATACTAGGTTAGAATGTAGTCATTGCAACAGAAACTATGTAATTTTGGGGTAAACTATGTACAGCCATGAAGAGGAGTGGCCAGTTTTTTTTTTTTTTTCCTTTTCACTGAGATTGAGTGTCTGTCTTCTGTTAGCTTCTTTACAGGTTTCATCACAAGAAGATTTATAACACATTATGCTGGCTCTCACAATAAAACATAAGTTTTAGAAGTTAATCTGAATAAACTGGGACATCACTAAAGAAGAAAATGAAGGATCACAAAAAATTTGAAAATGTGATAAATGTAGGGCAGTTATGTGTTCAATGATTAAAATCAAAAGAAATAAACCTAAGCTTCTGAAATGTTTTCTTCCTGCTAAATAACTACCAACATTTTTTAGTTTGGTTTTCTCCATTTGAACTTCTCGCTGTGTCCCCTGCTCTGTGTAGGCTACAAGAGTTTATATCACTAAAGTATGCTAGGAACTACTTATCTAAAGTGGAGAATGTATAACATACCAAGAAAGGGAGAGATTAAAGAGTAAAATAATATACATTAAAGAGTAAATTATCTGTACTAAAAATGCCCTTTCTCTTTGAAACACAAATCTGAAACTCATTCTTACAGAGAAGTTCCCAGAAGATACAACAGAAGTAAATTACATAATAACTATTAATTAAAAATTTTAAAGGGAAATTAAACTTACCCAGGAAGGCAAAGTTTCTATAGTTCTCTAACATCACATCTTTATATAAGTTTTTCTGAGCAGGCTGAAGGCATTCCCACTCCTCTTCAGTAAAATCAATGGCTATATCCTTGAATGATAACAGTAACTGTAAAAAGAATAGATAAATAAATAACACATTGACTACATGAACATTTGCACAGTCTGTAAGGTAACTGAAGTTAAAATGAGAGTAAGTAGACTATCATGTAGGTGGTGTTTTGGAACACAATGATATTATTATCTACTTCTGCAGAAAAAGTGATTTAAGTTCAAAACAGTATATATATTCCACATTTGTGAAAACACAATGTAAAACTGAGGCATTACCACAAAAATATATATTTTGTAATTTTTTAATATCATGATCTAAATTATGTATATTGTTCAGATGAGAAAATTATTGTAATTAAAAAAGGGAATGCTCATATTTTAATTGTACAACCACTAATCAAAGATAAGTGTAGAATCTTATTTGCTATTTCTCTGATAGAGCTGGCTTTTCTGAATATGTAGTGAGATCTCTAGTAATCCCAATACCAATGGTATAAGAGAAATTTTGAAATGTAACAAGGTAGAAAGACCACTTAATGGAAATATTTAATAGTGAATTTAAGTTCAAACATTTTATGGTATTTATGTATGTTATTAATATAAAAAATAACAAAAACAATCCTGTTTGCATTTTCCATTTTATAGTTTTAACAATTTTTAACATACAAAATAATATATGCATATATATAT